ATTTAATATGTAAATTTAATTTTTTAACAACACTAAAAAAATTTAATTTATAAGGCCATAATTTATAATTTATTATTTTTAAATAAATTTAATTTATAATTTATATTTTTTATTTAATATATAATTTTAAATTAACAACACTAAAAAAACAATTTTATTTAATATATAAATTTAATTTTTTAACAACACAAAAAAATTAATTTATGAGGCTATAATTTATAATTTATTACTTTTAATTAAATTAAATTTGTAATTTATATTTTTTATTTAATACATAATTTTAAATTAACAACACTAAAAAAACAATTTTATTTAATATATAAATTTAATTTTTTAACAACACAAAAAAATTAATTTATGAGGCTATAATTTATAATTTATTACTTTTAATTAAATTAAATTTGTAATTTATATTTTTTATTTAATACATAATTTTAAATTAACAACACTAAAAAAACAATTTTATTTAATATATAAATTTAATTTTTTAACAACACAAAAAAATTAATTTATGAGGCTATAATTTATAATTTATTACTTTTAATTAAATTAAATTTGTAATTTATATTTTTTATTTAATACATAATTTTAAATTAACAACACTAAAAAAACAATTTTATTTAATATATAAATTTAATTTTTTAACAACACAAAAAAATTAATTTATGAGGCTATAATTTATAATTTATTACTTTTAATTAAATTAAATTTATAATTTATATTTTTTATTTAATATATAATTTTAAATTAACAACACTAAAAAAATAATTTTATTTAATATGTAAATTTAATTTTTTAACAACACTAAAAAAATTTAATTTATAAGGCCATAATTTTTAATTTATTATTTTTAATTAAATTTAATTTATAATTTATAATTTATATTTTTTATTTAATATATAATTTTAAATTAACAACACTAAAAAAACAATTTTATTTAATATATAAATTTAATTTTTTAACAACACAAAAAAATTAATTTATGAGGCTATAATTTATAATTTATTACTTTTAATTAAATTAAATTTGTAATTTATATTTTTTATTTAATACATAATTTTAAATTAACAACACTAAAAAAATAACTTATAAATGTTCAAAAGACTATTTTACATTTTTCTAATTATTTACTAAATAACAGTATGAGGGTAAAATGGACATTTCACACATTAGTCCTATGAGATACCAATCCCATGGAAATAATCCCACCCCCCTAGGATTGTTTAGTCCCACATATGAGGGATATGGAGTCTGATCGGACTCCATGTCCAGCGGACTAAAAATCCAATCAAACGATAGACATCCCCCTTCTTTGGATAAGCAATCTGAACAGTGAATAATCCCTCCCTAATCCCCTCAATCAAACACATCTTAGTGGAAAAAGAGAAACCTAGAAGGTGGGTTGTCAAAAAATTTGTGAGGGACCACGATCATCCTCTGGTTGTTTCATTGCCAAATAGACACCTTTTGTAACTAAATTGAAATGTTTGCCCTCACATAAAGTTTTTAATATTTAGTTCAATGGTAAAATTTTAACCTAATAATTTTGAGGTTATGGGTTCAAGTCTGGGGACAATCATTTTATGCACTATGCCAAAGGTTAGGTATGTACCCAATCTTTTTCCTCGCAAACACACATTTATGTGTACTACTTGGACATTATTTTTTTATTCTTTTGATTATTGTTTGTTTCAAGGTAAAATTTTTAGTGATTAATTGTTGTGTGTAAAGTTTAGCTTTTGTTAGAATTTACCATCACCTACCACCACTACCACCTCACCTACTCCACTAAACCTAACCCACTACACCACTACCACCTCACCTACTCCACTAAACCTAACCCACTACACCACTATCACCATCCACTACACACCATCCACTACACCTACATCTATATAAGGAACCATTTGTAATAGACAGAATATGGATCAATAAATCAATCAATATATCAATCAATAATACATCCAATTTTACATGGTATCAGAGCAATAGGTTAGCTCTAGGTGATCTTCACCTTCCGGCGGGCGGCAACCTTGCCTTCACCGCCCGCCGGACCCCAACACATACCTCCTCTCCTTTCACCTTTGTCTCTGCAACCTCACTCTGTAAATCATCACCTCCATCGGCGTCGTCCAAGTCGGCAACGGCAGCCGCAGCAGCATCGTTCTCTCCCTTCCGAGAACCTTCTCTCTCCATAGAGAAGACTTGGTTCCACAGATTTGGATTGGTTAGACGAAATCAATCAATCACCAAATCAAAAACTTGTTTAAAGCTCTCAAATGAGGAGTTTTTGTTGTTGCTAAAACAAACACACAAAAAAAAAAAAAAAAACAAACAAAATTTCATTCAATCAATTTGTTAATCATTGTTGTTGTTAATTAAGAGGAGAGAAAGAAACCGCAATCGGAGGCGCCCAGACCTAACCCTACCTCTCCCTCAACGAGACATGTCTCTAGCGGTTCCTCTCCCTCTTCCTCCGAGCTCAGCTTCGTCGTCTTCCAACTCCACTCAACTCGGCGGTGGTGGTGCTCCGCCGCCGTTGAATTTCTCGGAACTGGAGCGAATCAACCGAATCGGAAGCGGAAGCGGCGGAACAGTCTACAAAGTCCTCCATCGGCCGAGTCGGAGGCTTTTCGCCTTGAAGGTGATCCACGGGACCTACGGAGACGAAGACACCATTCGTCGCCAGATCTGTCGTGAAATCGAGATCCTTCGCGACGTAGATAACCCTAGCGTCGTCAGGTGTCACGACATGTTCGATCACGCCGGTGAGATTCAACTTCTTCTGGAATACATGGACTGTGGATCTCTCGAAGGAAAGCTTATACACAACGAATCCCGCCTCGCTGATCTATCTCGCCAGATCCTCTCCGGGCTGTACTATCTCCACAAGCGTAAGATCGTTCATAGAGACATTAAGCCTTCGAATCTGTTGATGAATTCTCGAAATCAGGTAAAAATTGCTGATTTTGGGGTTTCCAGAATCTTATCTCAAACGATGGATCCTTGTAACTCGGCGGTTGGGACGATTGCGTACATGAGTCCGGAAAGATTCAACACCGATCTCAATCACGGAAAGTACGATGGATATGCTGGAGATATTTGGAGCTTTGGAGTGAGTATTTTGGAATTCTATGTTGGCCACTTTCCTTTTGCAGCTGGGAGTGGAGATTGGGCGAGTCTCATGTGTGCAATCTGTATGTCTCAGCCTTAAGAGCTGTCCTACACCACACGCCGAGTCGCTCCCATGTCTGCTTTTTTCAGAAAGTTAAAAACAAAACAAACAAAGAATAATCTTGGAGGGGTGGAACCTCTCTCTCTCTCTCTTCCCATTGTTCCCACATGCACGCACCGCCCAAAATTTTTTTATCATAAAGCTTATTGGTGCTTGTTCCCCACTTTCTTTTTCTTTTTATTTTTCGTACTCATTATCAGTCCACTTTTAAACCCACTCCAGCACACCCACAATCTTTTTTTTTTAATATTTTCAGCCTTTTCCTTATATATATATTCTGATTCTTTTCACTCCTATATTCTTTCTATTTCTTTCTTTTTTTATTTCTCTTTCTTTGTATTTTTTTTTTATTTTATTTTATTAAAAAAAAAAAAAAAACGACGAGGAAGAAGACGAACTGCACACCATCTTATTTTATTCATGTCGGGCTCACCCCGATCACCATTTTACACCACAACTCCAAAACCACACAAAAAAAAAAAAAAAAAAAAAAAAAAAAAAAAAAAACCCCCCCCCCGGGGGGTTTTTTCCCTTCTCTACTCTACTGCAGGTCTCTTCTTTTTGCCTCCGTCCTGGGTGGCCCTTGACGGTGTTGCCTCCGTGCTTCCTAGACCACCACGCAAGTTGCCTCCTCCCTGCTCCTCCACTTCAGCGTATGGCGGACCTCCAAATTGGAACATCACGGTGGCCTTCCGCTTCAACTCCCTGTTTTCCGCCTTTAGTACACTTATCTCTGCTCGCGCATCCTTATACATGCGTTGGAGCAGAGCCAGCTGGGCGTTTAACTGCTGCACCTCATTTGCCCTACTCTGCAGCCGGTTCGACAAGTTTGTCACCGCCGTCATGGTTTCCACACATGACTTCAAGGTATACTGATTGGCCTCCACATCCGACTGCACCGCCATTTTTTGCTCCACAGACCGCATCGGAAAGTTCAACGGAGCAAAACCGGAAGCGCTTGGTTGAGTTTCACTGGCCACCGCACCCGTTATCTCTCTTGTTGACTCGTTGAGGTCAGGAAAGAGAGTGAGCAACCCACGGGACGACGAAGCCATTTTCTGGGCAACAGAGTGTTACAGAATTTTACAGAGTTTCTCTCTCAGAACACGAATCTCTCAGAACACGAAGAGTTTTTCAGATGTTTCTCTCAGTTTTTTTTTTGTCTCAGTCTCTGCCTCAGAATCTGCCTTCGTCTTGGTTATATAGCCAAGGCAGACACGCGCATCCTGCGCCGCTCGGCGCTCGCCGACAACCTGGCACGCCTTTTCATGGCACGCCTTTTGATGCATTTGGGCACGCCTTTTGATGGCACGCCTTTTGATTTTGAGGGCACGACTTTTGAGGGCTCGATATCTACATCCATGTATATCTTTTGGGCAGCCTATATACACACTCATGCAGTGTCTTCTACACCGGCCAGCTTTATCAATCCCTTTGTTTCAACCTCAAATAGGTTTCTATCTTCACACCTATTTGAGTTTGAGGGGGGGTTATACACAGTATCATGAATACATCAATTTATAACATGGTATCAGAGCAAGGTTAAGAGTTTAGTATTTTTTTTTCGCGTCACCGGCGGGCGGCAACCTCGCCTTGGCCGCCCGCCGGACCTCAA